CGTGATTCAATTGACAAGATATCGTATGTTAGATTACATCTTACACCGTATAGTATTAATAATCCTTCTGCGTTATTGCGAACTCTGCGAAGGAATTTTTATAGTTTATACACTCTGTTGTCTGTATAAATATCATATAATTATCATAAAAATCTATATACTATAATTTTTCTTTTCTTGCTCAATAATATAGCATCAATATAGCAATTCCGTAACATATTATGTAACGCGAATACTATGTAACAAGTTGCCTCAATTACGACTCACATATCGTTGCTAAGTTAGAGGAGATTGCTGAAGCGTGAGAAATCACGAAACGTAATAAGAAATATGTTTTATGATTGAATGTGCATTCAGCTTTTATCAACGCAAACTTATAATTTTATAAACAAACAGGAGGAATTTTTCGGTTTATATATCAATATTACGATGCAATTACAAGTTTATTTTATTGAAAGATATAATATAAAATCTTATACAGTATAATGATATAACTGCACAAGTTTGGTACTTGTAATGTTATAATTTTTATACATTTTTAGTAAATAAATTGTACCTACTAAGCTTGCAAATGTCTCACTAGATAAAGTATGAAGTTTCGCCAGACGACCTCAGCCGATAAAGCAGACTTGGAAATATACGCCTTGACCTTGGCGGCTTTACACTTTGTTATTTTATGATAAAATATACAAGATATGTATATATTAATATTACCTAACTTTATTTATCATTATTCATTTATTAATTATATTCTATCAATATAGAATTATTACAACATGTGATTATGCCTATAGATTTACTTTAAAGTTTATTAAGATGTTTACATGTGACATTATTTTGGTATACATTTTATTTATATAATACACATAATAATTTACACATTATTATTAACACACTAGTAACACACTAGTATTAACATATATAATAATATGGTTAATAACATGTATCGAATATTCACAATAGCAAGTAATTTTATCCCAGGTGTATAATATACACTTAATAATGATTCGTGTTTCTATCTTTTGCTATAATTAATTTAAGCATTTGTTAAAGGCGACATATAAAATAAATTTAAGATGATGATATAACTTAATTGTGTAATTTTTTATTAAGTACCAACACTATATAATATTTTTCCCACAAATCATTAACCGCATATTTAAATTACTTACGCAAGATGTTGTTTACTTTGTGTGTATATAAACTTGTTTTCAATATAATTATCTTATAACTATATGTCCAGTTAACTAATATCATTTTGATTATATATCAATTAAGAGTTTGTGGGAGATTGCGATATTCTAAACGCTAACTCCACCCAGCCTTTTCCGGACGTGCGAAAGATACCGGTATATGGACCAAGAATCGCGAATTACTTTTATCTTCCCGGAGATGGCGCACGGGGTGTCTCTTCCCCAATCGCTAGGGCGTCTCCCTATTGAGCGAATTTGGGAACTAGCATCCACCGATTGTCGCCCAATTCTCTTTTTTTCTATGCTCGACCCTTATTCCCTTTCATCCCCTGTCTCTTAAGTGAGTTCGTCGAAAGACCCAGTGTGTCCGGTAGTCTCTGACACAGCAACATCTCCTATACATCAGTGGGAGTAGAGCATCTCTCACATATCTTTTCCGAGACATACACGTTATATTTCCGCCTTTCTCCACTTCTCTTATAACTTCGTCTACGTGACGCGGTTGCAATTTACACCCCGTAATGCTCGAAACACGCGTGCCTTCATCACTGAGGAGATCGTACGTGTGCACGCACATTCACTCTGATGCTCATGTATGTGTATACGTGCAGGCGCATGTGGCCCTGGCCACTATGAGTTCCTTATTCAGCAGCGACATTTGAGATTGAGATTTGAAAATAGCCAACTGATATAAATGAATTGATTAGTTCGATTAGTTTTTGGAGATTATAAACATCTCTCTTTGTATCTAGGCTAATACGAACAATTTCACAAAATTGTGTGAATTCAATGAATTTTTAGGAATTCGTTATTCGCGTAACGAAATTAGAAGATTAAAAATTAGTAAAATTAGTTAAGACCATCCAACAGTTCTTTGGGATTATGAATGAAGTTCACAATTGTGGAGACAGTCGCAATCATGTTGCGTTCTTCATTTGGTATGTGAATTAACTGCCATGGAATTCAGCAATAAGTGTAGCAGCATGTGTTCATGGTTGTGATAATAAAGCGAAAACAGGAAAGTTATTGCAAGAAACAGTACCAATGCCTTCTATTGTCTTCTCGTAAACGATCTGTCGCATGAGTAGAATATGTATGCGCGAAGACGTGTGGTACAACATATCCTTATGGATAGATATACGTGCTTGGAGTATTAATGGAAACTCGTTCACATAATCTATCAATCTCCAAAACTACCGCTCGTATATGGATGTAACGATTCGTATCGGCAACAATCGACATGGGTGGTGACTATAAACATCATCAATAGTAATTTTTGGTGCACTGAACTGCATAATTTATTGTTCGTATGTACCTTATTTACTTTCTTGACGTACTTCGTGACGTTTCTTGTGACGTTTGTTGAAAATTTGCAACATATTTATGCATTTGATTAAATGCGAAATATAAATATAAGTTGTAAATAATAAAATAAATGGAAAAAAATGGATAATGTTATAAAAAATATCAATGCGTATGATAATAAATGCGGAATGTAAATATAAATTGTAAATATAAATAGAAAGAAATGCGTATTATTGTTAAAAATATCAATGCACATTCAATAAATTGTCTTATTCCTCCTTACGCGGAAAACAGGATATTAAAAATAATAATTATTATCTGAATTTGGTTGCAGGGAGCAGTTATGTACGACTATTCGCCTAATCTTCCGTATGGTAAGTACTTACTGTTATATTGCCCATAAATAGCTTTATAAATACAACTAAAATTATTTTGCTCGACTCATATAAAATTTATGAAACTTATGAATTGTGTAAATTTATGTGAATATAATCAATTTTACGACAGGTAAGTCCTCTTTTGATAATTTGCATAAAGTTGATAATTACAGTCATCGTTGATAGCCATCCGTACTCATAGAATTAATCGGCATTATTATCGATTCTCACTTCTCAAGTATTCATTATTTGCAAGTAAGACTTGTCATTTCCATTGAGGACATAACTCACAGCACATGCAGTTATGAATTTTCATAATTATACATTCGAATGCAAGTAAAGTTTTTCAACAATATTGCTTAGACAGAGACAATCAGTCTATTTTCCTGACAGTTTAAATAGCATAATTTACTATTCAAAATATACTTTTCTTACATAGTGATACAATAGAACTATTGTATCACGAACACCATCACGATTGCAATCTTACACGGGAGATCTGTGTTGCTGCGTACTCGCGCTCCGAATTTGTCGCGTTCGAATCGCTATAACGCGTTTTAAGAATTTTTATAAAGTTAATATAAAAATTTATACACGTCTTGCAAATTTATACTTTCAAAAAATGCATATAAAGTTAGTCAAAATTCATTACTTCTATTCTATATTTCTATATCCCTCTAACTTCTTAATTTAATGTATAATTGTGATTACATTCCAATTATTGAAGTTGCACAAAATTCCCAAAGTTTGTACAGTTTGTTTTTTTTTTCATTCATATGTGTAGTGTCATATTGTTTCCTTTAACAAGTTGATTCAAAATAAGGGATGATGATTAAAGCAATGTAAGTAAATATTTTCGCCATTAGATAAGAGTGTTTCAAGCGCACAAAGTGTGTCAATAAAATAGGGTGTGTAAAATGGGCTGTCCATCGTAAGAAACGCCGGGATCCAGGCTGGAAGTTTTTCCCGCCCCTTGCACCTTACTACTCTCGCGTGCGATATTCTCGGTACACCCTCCTCCTGGCACTTGCCCCCGACGTAAGCCGCCCCTTCTCCCTCACGCAAGCCGCGTCACTTCTCGCCCCATCGCCGCGCCACCATTCTCACGTAGGAATGCCGCCACGATAACCCAACCGGGACGAGTTCAGTGGTTTCCAAGAGTCGACGAGTCGACGGTGGCCGAATCGCGCTGGTTTCCGCGAAAGCAGCGGTGGAAGAGAGGAGGAACAAGAGATGTGAGTCGAACGTCTTCCTGTGCTTTTGACAGACTCGAAGTTCGGATCGGGAAGAACAATTATCCAAGATACCTTAATGTCTCATAATAAACACTCGGGACGGCTGTTCATGATCTTGATCTGCACGAGGAGTAACGAAACAAAGGATGGGATATGACATAAGACGGAATCTGATGTAATCTCATTTCTCACGAAATGCATCGCTTTCGGGAAGTTTAATGATTAACCTGTTCTGCGCAACATAACAAAAGTTCTTTCGAATGAGTATGTTACATATTACAAACGTGTGAAGAAATTGGATTTTTCATTAATGACTTGTTCGTGCTCGATACCACTGTCAAATTAACATGGATGGAGTATAAAACATAGAGCACAATTGAACGGCAGGATGTAAAAACGGATAATAAGCCTTTAAATAAAACATTATTTGAGACAATAAATGGACTTATCCTTCCTGATCAGATTATATCAAACAGTTAAAGAAACAGTAAAGAAAGAAATATTGTTAGAATAAATAAAAATTGTTTTGATAGATTTAAAATAATACCATTTTACGAAGAAAATTAATTATAAATGAAAGAAATAATAATAATCATGAATTTCTATTAAAATTCAATCGATGTAAATTGAATAGAAAACAGATAATGTGTATAAAGCAAAAATTCAAAAAGTATTGCTTTGACGGGAATTGAAAGGAAGAAAAAATCCCAAAGAGTAGGATGGAGGTAGCTTAAGAACAAGATAAAAAGACTGCATTCGAAAGAGAAAGAGGAAGAGGAGAGAGAAAGAGAGAGAGAGAGAGAGAGAGAGAGAGAGGGGGAGAGAGAGAGAGAGAGAGAGAGAGAGGGAGAGAGAGAGAGAGAGAGAGAGAGAGAGAGAGATAAGCGGAATAACTCAGAAGAGGACAGAGAATACCGTGTGAGACGTTGGAACGTTGCAGGGTATAAGGCAACGTGGCGAGCTCGACTGCACTGGCAAAAGGCGAACGTACGGACCGTCGGACGGACGGAGCACGCCGGGTACACGCAAGTGAGCAGGCGAGAGGTGCCTGAAACCTAAGTGAGGGAAGAGAGTTCGAGGTATAGCCAAAAGCGTAAGCCAGAGCGAGAGGAAAATCCGCAGAGAGAGAGAGACTCATTCATCTTGGCGCGCCTAGCATGCCTGCGATTGGTCCATCTTGGGTAAGGCCACGCTACGATTGGACGGCTCTGTTTACCAGCTGGTGCCCCGGTGCGCTCCCGGCTCGTAGAAGAGAGGGGGGAACAGAACGGAGAGACAAGCGGCGCCATTATTGTAAGGGGTTACATTTAGCTGGCCGTGGGTTGTAGTACGCGGCGTTCGGGATAGGGGGCTATAGTACCTTCATGCATGGCCCATAAAGGATTCGTCGACTATCCGAGAAGTACGCAAGAAACGGCTTCTAACACCTGACAGGGGCCACGCTCTTCTCTTCTCTCTCCTCGTGCCGTCGCCGGGTTCGCCGTCGCAGCCCAATTTCCAAACTGGGACCACGGCTGGGATCGTCCGGGGTGGGCCCGATCGAGAAAGGACCCACCGCATTATCGCCGATTCTCGTTCTGATTTGGATGGATTTGTAATCGAGAGAGGCACGATTACGTCGAGCGCGAATCCGATCTTCAAGGTGCAGATCTGCGATCCGTGGATCTTAACCTGGAGTTCGAGAGGAGGGATATGTCATTTGCTATTGCGGACACTCGGTGATTCGTGGTCAGTCGTCCCGAGCGGCCGCATCCCGCCGCGTTCGGTATTGTTATTGTGATAATGTGCTGAGTTGCATAAGTGGCAGTAAAAGTGGATCGTTGTTCGCTGATACAAGGCAAAGCAGATAGTGAACACGGGCAACGATAAGGCTGAAAGAGGCTGAAAGAGAGAAAGAGAAAGAGATCGGATCAGAGAGAAAGAGAGATTCTCGCGAGCAAGCGGCAAGAAAAATAGTGCGCGCGTTCCTGCGACGAGGATCCTGCCGATCGAGCAAGATTAAGTGTATCCGTAAACCGTGATCCGTAATGGATTGTACAATGACGAAGCAGCAGACGGTGTCGGTCGTGTCGTCGCGGTGTCGGTGTTGAGACACTTGTCCCGGTCGTCTGGTCCGGGCGTGTCATCGGCATCGGATCTACATCGGCACCGACAGGCGATATGAGTTCGAAATTCATAATTGATAGTATGCTACCTAAGTACCATCAGCAATTCCACCATCAGCAGTTATTCTCAAGCGCGAATCCAGGTACCATTCAGGCGTGCACCACGAGTCCGGCCACCGCTAGCCTAGAATCGAGTCTATCCGCGGCTGCAGTGGCGGCCGCGGCGGTTAACTACGCACAGCAGCACAATTCACCGAGTCCAACTGGCTCGAGCCCCCAACACTCGGGAAGCTCCGCTTCGACGTCACCGGCGGCACGCACGTCCAGCATGTATCCTTACGTATCCGCCGCAGCGGCGCATCATCATCATCAGCAACAGCAGGCAGTCGCTGCTGCCGCGTTCGGCGCCACGTCCAGCATGGTGCCCGCTTTCGGCTCCTCGGCAGCGTCCAGCGCTGCCCTGGCCGCCGCCGCCGCCGTGGACGCCGCGACTGCCGGCGACAAGTCCTGCCGTTACACGGCCAGCCTCACCGGCAATGTAGCACCGACATCGGCCGATCCTATGGTTAACTATACTCTCGGTCATCATCATCAAAACGGTGCTACACCGGGCAGCCTTGTCTCGTCTGCATCCGCATCATCGGCCGTGTCGGCCGCGTCGGCTTCCATGGCAGCGGCGGCGCAATTCTACCATCAAGCAGCTGCCGCATCGGCCGTCGTCGATCCTTTGACGTCTTGCCAACAACCTACTACAGGCCAACCTGGGATCTCGGACATACCTCGGTATCCATGGATGTCGATCACCGGTGAGTCTCTCTTGGATTGGTTCTTCGATAAGCGATCTTTTAAGTATTTTCTTCTTCTTTGTTATCACCTAACCGCTTCGTTCATTAACAGCGTGCGTATGCGCTAGATGAAGCACGCCCCTTTTGAAAATTGTTTCATTGTCATTTTGCTGTTTGAGTACCGTAGGTAATACGAAGAAAAAAGTAATCTCACTACAGACGAATTAGGGCATTATGAAGAGCGTTTCTTTGAGTTCGATGATCTGGAATTTAATTGGTCTCTCCTTAAATAGCTTTGTCGTTATTATTAATGAATTAAATACAGTTGCTATATATTGAATTTTTATACATATATACATTATACATACGCACGCGCGCGCGCACATACACATGCACGCACGCGCGCGCGAAGATATATATATGTGTGTGAGTGTCTGTGTATGCGTGTGTGTGTGTGTGTGTGTGTGTGTGTGTGTGTGTGTGTGTGTGTGTGTGTGTGTGTGTGCGTGTGTGTGCGTGTGTGTGGTGTGTGTGCGTGTGTGTGGTGTGTGTGTGTGTGTGTGTGGTGCGTGGTGTGTGTGTGTGTGTGTGTGTGTGTGTGTGTGTGTCGCGTGCGTGTGTGTGCGTGTGTGTAATATATGTACATATATAAGTTACTAAATATTCATTTTAGTTGCATAATTCATTGTTCATACGTGATAAATTGATTAATTGCCAATATTTAGTATTAATTTCGATGGAGTTCGATGGATGTAAACTGAATGTCTTTATGTATTCCTTCATATTGCATGTGAATAAGGGAGGATGCGTCAATGAATGCAATTTGCATGAAACTTTCAGCATAATAGCGACAAGCAATATTAATTGTTGCAATATTAATTGATTAATTGTTTATCTGATTAATCGTTTAATGTACAGAATATATGGAATATAAATAGATACAGTAATATTATTATAAATGATAGTTAAATTACATTTACGGACCTCTTATATAAAAATATTAATACGTAATCTACTCACTGCGTATTCAAGAACACGATTGTTGTTGCTAAACGTAGAAGAAATACAAAATTATACGCACACAATTGTTGCTGAGACGTTTTCCTTCACTGATACTACTAGATACGATGAAATTGACCAGACGGTAGACGCTGCCTTAAGTTACAAATCGTACAGAAATGTATGAAGCATTGTTCAATAGTCACATCCAAGGGCTGAGGGGGAAAACGAGGCGGTTCGTACAAAATCAATACTATCAGATCAAATGTAGTTTTATCACTCAGAGTATTATATGGTAACTACTTTATTGTAACCATGATGAAACATAATTTATCTACATGAACATTGTGCGTATCACGAGCACAATTATTGAAGAATACGCCTTACACGAGAGGGGTTAAAATCCGTAATGCTTTTGTCCATGCGCACTCGAGGAAATTCGAAGCTTCTTCAGTGTTGTACATAATTGTACATGCACAAGATGTTGAAGAGTCTTTCTTTGCCGGCGTGTTTTAGCCTGGTCGAAGTACCGACGGTATTGCTGCTGCTGCCGCACGCTCTTGTTGTTGACGCTGAAAGTTGCATGCCACAGCGCGTACACCGCGAAACGAAACCTTTTTCTCATTGCGTTTGCCTCGTTTGATATCATTGTAGCGGCACGTACAAAATGACTTTGAGAAGTTCGCATGAAAAGAGTGGGTTCCAAGGAGCCGGATTGGGAGAGGAGAAGAAGGGGTTTCTTTGAAGCTTGGTGTTTCGCGGTCGCTCCCGAGGAACGCGAGTAGCATGGCCGTTTTGCAGTTGCAATTTGATTTACCCCACGCGGTGTACCGTTGAAACTTCGAGGCATAGGGTTCAATTACAACAATCACCATATTTGTCACATTAGGCACGGCAGCGACTTAGCTGAATTCACGTGACGAACGAATTAACACGCGCGCGCACTCGCTCGCCCTTGCTTTTCAAGCAGTCTCAAGTTATTTACCGTGTCACCCTGGAGTTTACAATGAAATTTCTCGGCGACTCGGCCGCTCGTACGATCTTTCGTTCGTGCCAATGCACTCGCATTAGCGCGTATAGTAATGTAATATAAGGCATACCGAGGACGGGCGATCATGGAATATATTACGATTAAATTATAATCATTGAATATGCAAATTATTTTTCAAAGCCCGTTTCGCTATCAACACGTTATATTAACGCTTGGCGTTAACTTGCCTCGTTTTTGTCCCTTTTTCTTTCTATATTAACTCGTGGGGTGCCATTATGCTCGGCGAATCATGAACTTTCGTGTGCTTTTGTGTGGTTCTTAATGTGCATGTTGTGATAGCGTTGATTTGTGATACGATTTAATTTTCGTAAAAGATAAATGACTATTAGAAATGGCGGTCGCCATTTCTAGAAGTATCGGTCTTTGCGTGAAGTTTTGAACGTTGTAAATATTATCTGAAGAATTAAATCGTTTCTATAAATTGTACTGCGACATTTTCTTCAGTGTCATTAGTGGTTTCCATCATGATCTGCTAAGTGATTGAATTTTGTATTGCGGTTGTATTTCATTATACTTCTCTGTTATTCCGTAACAATCGTTAGTATTTTCTGAATCCCGTAACGACCGAATATGATTATAATGACTTTTTATCTTATATATTTAAAGCTTTTCTTATATTATTTTTTATATATTGTACTTCAATTATCTTTTTACGTTTCTCTCTAGTACCGAAACATGTCTGACGTTATTTTTATCCTATTCCAGTGGTTAACGTCTTTAATTTTATTTATTTTCGCTTTTTCATTTGATATATTTCTAGCTCCTCTGAAGAGTTTACGGTTTTTTGAGCTCTCTTACTGTCATATGTCTATTCATGCGTCAATAAGTTCCTTATCTATTTTATGAGTGCGTAAGAATAACTTTATGGCTTAGGGGTGAGGTGAATGATTCAGCCGACAGCATAGTGTGACGATTTTAGTTCGCGAGGCCGTAGTGGGATCAAAATCACGTCGGCAATTCATAAATCTGCATTTTTTTCTTTTTGACAATTATCGTTCTCTTGAGCATCAACCAGTTTACTGTATTTTAATTCAATCATAAATAAAAGAAGATATTGTATGCGCGATAACATATTTTGATATGGCATTTTTTTAACGCAAAATATGAATGTAGTTTTTCGATAAATTATTTTGTCATTAAATTGACATACATATTTATTTACGTATACCGTGGCCTCTTCGATAGTAAACCTAATTTTAATTAATTAGAATTAGACGTTTGTTAGATAATTTGTCGGTTTAACAATTACCGGTTTTTAATTTGAATTGTCGGTAAAATTTTAAAAATGTTTGCGCGTTTCGCAAATTATTAATACATTGACTCAGTTTTCTATTGAATTTATTAGCAGACTTTAAATTTAATCTTTTTTTTTACATTATTATTTACTTAAAATCTTACATTGACTCAAGTTGTTACGAGAGTTGTGTGATTTTATTTATAATTTTTTAAAGTCCTTTAAAAATCTTTAAGTACGTTTTAATGCATCACGTATTTTCATGCAGTATCTTAATTGTTTGTTATATGAGAGATATATTATAAAAATTTCGCTGCGCGCGCACATAATAAGCTTAAATGCATGCGTAGTTTCATAGTTACAAATAACTAAATAACTACAATGAAGCTGATTTTTATCATCAGATTATCATCTGGTTTGACATGATAAAAAATGGATATACATAATTTCTGAAACACTTTAGAACTCTCATTCTGCTATTTTAATTAACCAATTTATTTTCCAGATTGGATGAGTCCATTTGACAGAGTGGTCTGCGGTGAGTACAAATTATTATTACTAATTAGATAACTTTTATATTATTATTGTCATTATAAAAATGCCGTATGTAAAAATATAGAATATACACACCCATATGTGTGAATGTGTATATTTTATATTTTTACAAATAAAACGGGTTTTATGCATACTTAAATACGATATTTTTGTATACTTTTTACATCTTTTTTTAATATAGCAATCATGTGTTATATTTTTAGAATTGAGATTGTAAATAGCATTATCCTTTCTCTCTCTCTCTCTCTTTCGCTCGCTTCGAGACAGTTTTACTTCTAATAATGATGAAATCACAACTCTGTCGATTAATCGCTGATTTGATAAATGTTCGGTCATTAATCCACGATGAAAATGATATAATATCAGGCGCTAAGGAAAGTCAAGGTCAACGTCTGAGTCACTTACGTGAATCGTGCCACCAGGCTGCACGCGTTAAATCCTTACCCTATTCATTTATGTTAGTTGCGCATGCAAGAAGGACATGTATATGGGCAACTACACCTGTCGTCACCGTGATAATGTTAGTCGCGAATAATCCCCGTGACTATCTTTTATACAACCACTTATGAGCTCACAATAGCGCAGTAAATACCGATTAGATAAAATTAAAACTTCAGTCATTGGCTTTTATCGCGATGGTTTGTTTACATCGGGCGGATCATAATTTCAAATAGGCATTGGCGATCACCGTACGAAGTTTCCAGCTGCAGTGAGAACGCTTAGCCCGGTAGGAAATTACATTCCGATATATTCAACCGAAGAATTTATCTGTTTGTACATACATATATTGTTACCCAATGAGTGAGAGTACACACTCATCGTTATAAGACTACATATCCGGATATTTCGCTGGTTTTTATAATAATTCGCTCATGTATTTTGTGTTCGCGATATATGTATAAAATCAAACTTTTTTATAATATTCTATTATCATTAATTAATCATTTAATTAATCAATACTATATTAAATAGAACAAGACACTTGCACAATAAAAAATAACTGCGGTTTTAATAAGTAAATCTTAAAGTCAATCAGTTCAGAACTCAAAAAGCTGCAAAATTATTGCCGTAATATTACGATGTGTCTCAAGACTAAAGGATAGAGATAAATATTGTAGATATAAATATTTCATTACGATTTGATGTATAGTTTCAGCATTTATAACACTACCGCACTTATCGTATGCATTTAAAGTCGAATAAAATTCCTATTTTCTTCATTTATAATTGTACTCTTTGCTGTTTCTATTGATTTAATATGCAATTAGTACGTAAATGCATTGCACTCTCTCGGATTTAGAGTCGATAAATAGTTGGTTCGAGTTTGTCCTTCAAGGTCGTCCACATATCTCCGTTTAAAATTCCTAGCGTTTAGAAATATAGACAGTTTCGGCTGTAATCGCACTATCTCCCTCCGACTCGCTATTCTTTCTATACATAACGCATAGTCTCGATATGCCGATTGAGAAACATCAATCTACCAAGTGCAATCCACACATCATTTTCTGGCTTCGCCCATAATTTATATCTATTTATATCTCTGATCAGTATGAATTATGATAATTATGTTCTGATATTGAAACCAGTGATATATAAAACGGAGCAATGAAACGGGAATATTTCGCTGAAATCAGAAAACCAGTGAATACTCATTGATTTTCGGTGAAATACTCCTTTCACTGATTCGATCAAGGACACTTTTACTGATCACTGACATTTTACTGATTCACTTTTACCGATTTAAGAGAAAAGTGAAATTGTTGCCGGGAACAATGTACAAATTCCTAATCTATCTCTGGTACACGCACGGGCCGCGAACACACCCTGACATTGGAGTTCAGAGGCCTGCGGACGTCTAGCTGGATTACGGTGTGTACACGGGGACTAGCAGGAGATAATGTATAATTTATAATCAGGCCGATCCGCCGGCAACGGCGCACCACTGTATGGGTGAGTCCACCTCCCCAAAAGCCGCCAACCCCTCATTAGCATTCGATGATGGCTGCCGCGTCCTGCAGCGTCGGTATTATCCCATTTCATCGTCCCTGCCTCCCCTACCTGGACCTCTCTTTTGCCGCCTCCGATCTCGCCGTCTCTCCTCGTCCCTCACGAGTATACGTTTCCTCCCTCGGCTGGTTCGCATCAGCATCCAGCAGGTATCTGGTATTGGCTAGAAAAAGAATGGCCCCAATCGAAATTTCATCCGGAAAAATTTCATTCGGTGTTCTGCTTTATGCCACACAACTCGGCGCTCTCCACTTTCCCACTTTGGCCCCCATCTTCTCGATTCGCTGTTAATATACGTGCCACGTCGGCTTTTAAAGAGCGGAAGTTATTTCGCGCTCGCGACGCGGAACATTGTTGCAAGGAAGGTAAAGTTCACGCGCGAGAGATCGCATAACATCTCCACGTGTATCGAGACGTGTGAAATCGAGGGTTGATTTCAAAGCGGCTCGTAAAAATAGACTGTCGGTTCGGTGACCAGGTCGATTGAAAAATTCGAGGGGTTCGGGCAGGCGGGGGAAAGCAACGAACGAAACTTTTACGCTCGCGTCGTGAGCGCGGCGTGACCGCTTGTGACGTTTCCCGAAAGAAGCCGCGCTTCCGGAGACAGGTCAGAATCGTGTTGTCACAGAGATTATTGAAACTGCAGTTTTATGGGCCTTAAAAGCAGTTTAATTGCCGTTATATAAGTGTTTATGCGTTGCCAGGTTTGGCCTCTGCCTTCGCCACCCCAAACGTTTATTTTATGGTCATACGGCGGCGGCGGCAGCGGCGGCGGCAGCGCGTACCCCGTTATGTCGCGTGCCAAAGCCATCACACCAGTCAAATTCTCAGAACGGTGACCGGACGATTCCCAAATATCGGCGATTTATCTGTGTCACAGCCGCAGACCGATATCTTGCGTTTTTCTACGCTACGATTTTTACGCTTCTTTCGGGAGAGAATAGTTCTCGCGTTATTCTCTGGGTATTAAATAAGTACCGTGACCCAAGTTAAAATTATTACACGTGCGATATAACAAAATGCACGAGAAACATTATGTAAATATTCTAGAAGTATCTTTTTAAAGACGTTTTAAGCTGTAGAAAGATGTAAAATGCAGTGGTATATATATTTCCGTGAATATTTTCTCTAATTATTTAAATGTGTAACGTTTTCAAATTCTCTTGGCGTTATATGCAATATGTTTTAAATGTTCCATGTCCATTCTGTGACGCGTAAGATGAAAACCTTATTGTACTTATATATATTTTATTATATTAATCCTTCATATATTATTTTATATTATTTTTAGGATACTTTTCCACGGAAACTTCAACTTTTAACTTTTAACTTGTGTTCATACGAGTCCACTTTCGCACGTCAAACTTTCACTGCACCCTTTGTCACGTATTACGCGTTTTTTCTCACCATCGTAAGACTATAAAGTTTACCTGAACCACCAAAGGGAAAAGAACTGCCAGCACAAGAGTCGAAGAGTTTTTTTCTGACGTTTGTAAATCACGTTGTCGTTTCGTGCTGAGCCGAGTGAAAGTAAAGGCTTTGAAGATCGTATCTTTCACGAAAATCAACCGTGTCACGTTCATGTTGTGACGGTAAGGGGCGCCATGCGCATCTATGACCCTTCTTTTTTTGCGCAACCGATTCGTTCCTTCGCTGCATTTTTTACTGGTTATGGTAATATAAGATGCTTCGAACTTATCCAGTTGTGCTTTGTTCTTAAATTTTTTTCGTACAATGTTGAATTCATTTTGTATCATAGAAGGTTATAAAAATCAAGATGTTTTGGCGAGTAACATCTTATTTTCCATCGAATTTTAAGTAAATTTCACTTATTACTTACGCTCATTTATTGCTACATCGCTTATCATAGCATCACTTATTCTGTATTATTTATTGCTGTGTTACTTATTGCTATATTATTTGTTTCTGTATTATTCATTGCTATATCGCATTGCTATAACACTTATATATCACAAATTTGCAATATACATGCGAATATATACATGCTGTAAAATATATTTACGATCCAAAATAAAAAAATTCACCAAACGCTAAAGAAAAATTGACTTAGATTGATCAAAGGAATTATAGATAAAAACTAGTTGTCCAAAATATTTTTGACTTGACACATTTTGTGTACCACATTGCAATATGCGTCCGCATCCGTGTCGCCATTTGTATTTATAAAAGGTCTGAAAAATCGAGATTCACAAATCCAGTTGAAATGATACATGGATATTATCCGGTACGTCACGTACCGTTGTCATGATGGTATAATTATTTGCAAAGGGAGAAATTTACGACAATTACTGCTCCTGCATTATCTCTCTTGTCGAGCCACGGCAAGCGTGCTCATTCGTATTAATCTGTACGCGAAATCGGGATTTTTATATTTTATATCATGCAAGGATATTTATGAATATAGAAGAGCGTTGGAAATCGCATGCCTTTTGTATGAATGCTTGGCGTTTCTAAATATAAATATATATAACAATGTTTCAAAAATGGAGTATATTTTTATTTTTCGCTTTTCAAAAAAACATACTTGACACACTTATTTATTTATTGATGAATATTGAAGATATACTTACATCGTCCACATACGGCGGCAATGTAAGAGAATGCATTGATAAGTAAACTAAAAATCCATATAACTCCAAAGTGTACTTCGCAAAGTAAAGTATGTCATCAGTGAATAATAGAGAGAGAGTCGCAATTTTCTCGAGTCGATTGATTAAGGAATGAACTATCGCTTTAATGGAGTGTTATGGTGTTAAATGAAACTCCAAACAACGGTATATATCATTATCTGCACAAGCGCTGTTGTAATCTCATTAAATTATTTCCAACACAGTCTCGTACTTATCGCTTGGCGCCGACCTTTCAAATTAATCGCTTGTTCTTAAAGCGATGTCTATAAGCACTCAACTAGATATCAAACATATACTACGTTTTGCACATCGTAATACTTCTCGA